GGCATCAATATATAAATATATATATATATATATATATATATATATATATATATATATAACCTGAACATTGTTTTTCAGGCATGATCTTTTAACATGATCTTTTAATGCTAGAAAAAACATGTTTCGTTTTTTAATTATTGTTTAATCTAATTTAATGCTTTACTTATGTTTTTAATGAAAGAGGCATCAATATATAAGTATCAACATGTTTTCAGGCATGATCTTTTAACTTTTTAATATATATCTTTCAATGATAATGTTATTATATATCTTTCTTATCAGATAATATCAAAGAATTTACTTCAAATAAAGAGACAAAACTTGTGTATGTTATTTAATGAAAGAGGCATATATATATATATATATATATATATATATATATATATATATATATATACCTAACCTGAACATTGTTTTCAGGCATGATCTTTTAACTGAGAAAAAGGAGATTATTGTCTAATCTATTTAATACTACTTATGTTTACTGCAATGAAAGTATCAACATGTTTTCGTTTTTTTAATATATATCTTTCAATGATAATGTAATTAAGCTTATCAGATAATATCAAAATTTACTTAAAATAAAGAGACAAAACTTGTGTATGTTATTTAATGAAAAGAGGCATCAATATATATATATATATATATATATATATATATATATATATATATATATATGAACATTGTTTTCAGGCATGATCTTTTAACTGAGAAAAAAGGAGATTATTGTCTAATCTATTTAATACTACTTATGTTTTACAGTAAAAGTATCAACATGTTTCGTTTTTTAATATATATCTTTCAATGATAATGTTATTAAACATCAGATAATATCAAAGGAATTTACTTAAAATAAAGAAAAAGACAAAACTTGTGTATGTTATTTAATGAAAAGAGGCATCAATATATATATATATATATATATATATATATATAACCTGAACATTGTTTTCAGGCATGATCTTTTAACTAAGAAAAAGGAGATTATTGTCTAATCTATTTAATGCTACTTATGTTTACAGCAATGAAAGTATCAACATGTTTCGTTTTTTAAGTCGCCGTCAGAGCTTTTCTCACAGTACATTTTCACGTTCCGTTTACCTCTATACAAACCTGTTAATGCTTTCTGTATCATAGGCTGAAAATTCTTATCCGTTTGTCTGTTGATTGGTCGCTTGAATTTGTTTCGCGGCATATCAGCCTCTATGTATCATTGTCAGGGTCCTTACCTATAACTACAGAATGAACTCTTCCTAACATTATGTATACTACGCCCCTCAAGAGAGAGGGAAGAATCGAGTCGAGCTTCTCGTCTTGACGGTCGAACTATCTGCCTCTGAGCGGATAGGAACTCGGACGAGGCTCCGCCGAAGGGCAGAGTCTCGTTCGGGGAGGTTGACCAACCCGATCCCGTTTATACGGGTTCTACGGGCATTTTTGGGCCGAGCCTACAGGCTCAGAAACCCGATTAAACTCGGCCTTGTGCCACATGCAACCCTCATGGGGGCGTGGGGGCTAGATACCGAATCGAGTCGAGCTTCTCGGCTTGGCGGTCGAACTCTCTGGCTCTGAGCAGAGAGGAACCCGGACGAGGCTCCGCCGAAGGGCAGAATCTCGTTCGGGGAGGTTGACCAACCCGATCCCGTTTATGCAGGTTCTACGGGCATTTTTTGGCCGAGCCTACGGTCTCGGGAAACCCACGTTAAACTCGGCCTTCTGCCACATGCAACCTGGGGAGGTGGCTAGATACCGAATCGAGTCGAGCCGATAGTAGTTCACTCCAAACCAGACTGACAGTCATACTAACACCTTCCGCATCTTGTATTATTATTTCGTGTAATATACCTTCGTTATTTCTACTCTTGTGTTCGTGGTGTTCTTCTTTGGTCCTATCCTGGACCATAACAGTTAAGCAATGCCAAAATCTACATATTTTGTACATAATTTTACATTATCAGAGTTTTATTGTTTATACATTATTTTTTTATAGGTATAAGGTCAGCATGGTCGAATTACTACTTTTAAACTACAACTTTCCCATGATTTCTCTCTACGCTCATATTTGCTCGAAGTCTGTCTTAACGTAAACAAATGACCTTATATATTAGGAAATGGACTAAGTCCGACTATCATTTTAATATATTTATTGTTTAGACCTTATTTTTATACATACAAATATTTAAGTAAATACTTTGTTTATAATAAACAGTATTAACGACATATACCTCGCTAAGCAGACGCTTTCTTTGTAGCTAAATGGTAAAGCATGTCGGTTATATGACGGTTCCGCCTAGGATACAGGTTCGATTCCTGCCGAATGACGCATATTTTCTTTGGAATTTTGTCGGACTTTCAGGCAGATAAATGTTATTAATACTGTTTATTATAAACAGAGCATTTATTTAAATATTTGTATCGATAAAAATACCGTCTAAACAATAAATATATTAAAATAATTGTCGGACTTTGTCCATTTCATAATATATCCTTAGAGTAATATACATATACAATTTACATATATAGTTTGTAGATCACAAAATGAGTTGTTAATTGTGTGATTGATTTCACCACATTAATTTAACTTTAGATTAGGAAACAAGGCTCACGCAGAAAAGGATAACCAAAAGACATTGTTACACCTAAAATATGTATTTAACAAGATGTACAATATCAAACAACGATGTTAAAGAAAGCATGCATTTAAGTACGAAAAGGTTCAATTAACCAAGAGTTGTCTCTCTTTATCTGTTATTTTAGTGTTCAATGAGAAATAGTCATTTGGTTCAAAGTTGACTGGACGAATGTTCATGAGAGCCTCTTGCAATGATTGTTCTTGAAAGATATTGCTGTGTAAGAAGAGTTTATGTGAGTGTGTACAATGTATGTTCAGCATGTGAGTGGTGTGTGTGTGTATAAGAAAGTTGACGCATGGTTTCAAGTGTCGTGGATTCTTTTGGCAGTTGAATTCTGACTAAGTGGGATTAGAGAAATCTTGGCTTAAATAAGCGACTATAGGCTCCAAATCGTTGCGCGGGAAAAATATTCTTCACGTGCAAACGATTTGATAGGTTGGCATCGACTAATCAGCTAGCGAACTTTGGGGTGTCTTAAGAAAGCTTCTGTGATGCGCTTCACCCAAAAGTGCACAAAATTGACTACTTAAAATTAGAGCGATTACAAAATTGTCGCATTACTGCGATTTGTAAATTGCCTATAGTAATGTAGTGGTGATTTATTAACCAATGAATGCTTGGCGTTGTATGTGATTTGTATTTTTGTATGTATGTATGTTCGTGCGTAATAGATCAGCACAATATTTTCCTATAGCTGGTAACCTAACAGATACTACGAAATTGGGTCAGGATGGACTTGAGAAAAACAACAATTAAGAGGCGGTTTCATGTTCCTCAAATTCTACAAACTCTTGAACATAGATCCTACTGCCGGTTGGAGTTAATCGTCACACCCAGGACGATATCCGTATGCTGTTTTATTAGAGTCTGTCTATATTTCTGAGATGAGGTATTGTGTACATTATTTACATTATTCGGACTATCGTCCTCATCTTTGTCGCCATATTTATCACAACGTTACGGCCGTTGTACTCTCCGGCCTTCTTCAGGTGGTTGGAATTTCGAACTGAACCCTTTATTTCGCTCACTGGGGTAGACTGTTCTAGTTCCACGTGCCATGTATAATGGATGTCAGTTATCAGTTATCTCCTGTTAATTTCCCTCTGAAAGTTCTCCACTGCCTTAACCGGGTATTGAACTCACACTCTTTTGGGTCCTGTCACTGGATCTAACCAACGCCTTTATCCACTTTGCCATGTGTCCTTGTATTAGTCGATAATCGGCTACCGTATGAAACGCTGACCCCAAATTATGGGCTATGAAATTCCGGAAAAATATATCGTGAATATTGCGACTTTTCAGAATTTGAAGAGAGCTATATTTAAAGTAAATTTAACTTTAGAGCAACTATTTTTTCTTTGTATTGAAGCGCTAAAGTAAACTACATTTGATGTAGACGTACATGTTCGCACAACAATGTTTTAAGTCTGCTGCGAATATTAACATCAGCGAGTAGAAACACATTTCTAAGGAAAGTCACGGTATAGTTGCTAGTGGATTTTTCTCTCTGTAACGGCGCAAAAACAACAATATCCATTAGTACGAAGCGGCGCGCGAAGCAAAAAATAAGGAAAGGCTTTCTCACCGTTTAAGCCTTCTGCGAATATTAACGTAAGCGATATTTCTACGTAAAAAACACGATATAGTTCCGACTGGATTTTTCTCTCTGTGACCGGATAAAAACAGCAATGTTCATTGGGATTAAGCGGCGTGCGAAGCAAAAAAATAAGGAAAAACATTTTTACCTTTTGTCACCGGAAGTCAGCAACGACAGGACTGTGCTAGTACCCGCTCGACAAATGAAATTTACGAAAACTGTTAGCTCCTTCAGTAGCATCTAAACTGCCGGCTGAAAACAAAACATTCCTCAGATCAATATTAGACATTATACAGGAATCACAACGAGGGAACAAAATCTGTATGTCTTAACGAGAACCATTCTTTATCGGACCTTTTGCACTAATGTTACAGAATCACAAAGCATTGTTCCAAAGCAACAGAAACCACGTTACTTGTTGACTTTAACAAACAGCAACAATTAAAATGGATATGGTCATTATAAAAGCGAAAGCTTAGACGTGACACAAAGGCGAAAGTTATGAGCTCCCAGTGACGATAGATCTCACTATTCAGACAGGGAGAAGTGTCGTTGAGTGAAATTTGCCTACGTGAATGTAGCTTTTGTGTAGTGATAAAATCACTTTGCGAGACATTGTGTCTTTTAGCTGATAGATATAACGCACATGGTCGAGAAAATTTTAGTTTTTATACCTCATCTATAAGATGTATCATAATATTGAGTCATAAACTGCTAGAGAAATATTCATATTATTAACAAATAAGTAGAGCATCTATTTCTGAGTCTAGTCCCATATGTACGTGTTTGCCACATATATCCGTTCATCAGTTTCTATCTATCTATCTATCTATCTATCTATCTATCTATCTATCGCAGACAGGTCCATATCTATCTATCTATCTATCTATCTATCTATCTATCTATCTATCTATCTATCGCAGACAGGTCCATATCTATCTATCTATCTATCTATCTATCTATCTATCTATCTATCTATCTATCTATCTATCGAATCTATCATCTTCATCATCCATATCTATCTATCTATTCATCTATCTATCTATCTATCTATCTATCTATCTATCTATCTATCTATCTAAACAGGTTCATCTATCTATCTATCTATCTATCTATCTATCTATCTATCTATGACAGGTCCATATCTATCTATCTATCTATCTATCTATCTATCTATCTATCTATCTATCTATCTATCTCAGACAAGTCCATATCTATCTATCTATCTATCTATCTATCTATCTATCTATCTATCGCAGTCAGGCTTCCGATTTCTTTCTTTTTTTCTTTCTTTCTTTCTACTAGGTTAGCCAAAGATTTTGTTCTCTTATTAAGTAAAAAAAATTAAAAAAATACTCAAGAATTGAATGGACATTTTGACGTAGTCAATATCTACCTATGCTCATTTATATATATATCTCCGTCTAATATTCTCTGTCACTGTTAATATTTTTCTTTATCTATCTTAAGTCTGACCCTTTCCATACTTTTTCACCATCCATCTATCATTCGATCGTAGGACCCGTGTCCCAGTGCATCTTAAAATAATGTCCATATTTCTAACCCGGCTTCTGCCTACGCGCTGCGTGTCAGCAGATTCCGTTTCACTTCTTGCACTTGGCAGGCAGTAACATCGTGTTGGGACGGACGACGTGCGAATCGGACAGACAGTCCGACAGCAAGAAGAAGAAGAAGTAGAAGAGGAAGGAGAATTCATGCTCCGAAGAGCCTGGACATCTGCACGCACGGGCAAAAGCGGCCGGGTTGGTCAACCAACCAGTTGAAGATTTGAATGCCGCGCGTGTATATGCTCGTGTGCGCCGGATTCGTTGATTGAAACCGATTGCTGAGACGAGGCCAATGTTATTGCGACTTCACGAAACTGCAGGACGTGACCAGCATTAGCAAATTTTAACAACGACTTTGTTTTCAGCAGTATTTTCTAATGTCAGGCTAGTGATGGACATTTTTTTTAAAAATCTTGAAAAATGTTTTAGATTTTGAATAATTTTTGATGAAGAATTTTTTTTTTAAATCGTGAACAATGTATTCAATTTTAACTAATATTTGATGGATAATTTTTAAAAATCGTGAACAATGTTTTTGATTTTGAACTAATATTTGATGAACAATTTTTAAAATCATGGACAATTTTTATGATTTTGGACTAATTTTTGATGAACAATTTTTAAAATCATGGACAATTTTCATGATTTTGGACTAATTTTTGATGGACTTTTTTTTAAAAATCGTGGATACTGTTTTTGATTTTGAACTAACTATTGATGGACAACTCTTTTTTTAAAATCGTGAAAATATTTTTCCTTTTGAAGTAATTTTTGATGGACAATTTTTTAAAATCGTGGACAATTTTTTTTTATTTGAACTCATTTTTGATGGACAATTTTTTAAAAATCTTGGACTTTTTTTTTGTTTTGAACGAACTACTGATGGGCAATTTTTTTTTAGATCGTGAACAATGTTTTTCATTTTGAAGTAATTTTTGATGGACAGCATTTTTAAAATCGTGGACACTGTTTTTGATTTTTGAACTAATTTTTGATGGACAATTTTTTTAAAATCATGGACAATTTTTTTGATTTTGAACAATTTTTGATGGGCATTTATTTTTAAAAATGCGTATGATTTCCTTGAGGCGAAATTATTTTCTACCGAAATGTGTGTTCAGAAAATCGACTCGCTTTTTTTGCGGCGTGGTGGGGGCGTGCGGCTCGCTTTCCATGTTTCAGTCTTTCACTCACTTTTTTGTACCTCTTTCTAAAGATCTGTTTCCGTGAACCTATGTACATTTAACTCAAATGCGCTTTTAATAACAGCGTTATTTCGATACATTAACGCAATTCTCTAAACGTTTACATGATGTCCCCCCCCAGTACTTGATGTAAGAGAGTGCAAAATCCAGTTCTTAGAAATGAACAGCCAAACTACCGGCGCATATGGTTTGATTACAGTGGTGGAGGCTTATGCAGAACCAACTACTCTTTTCCAAAGAACCAAATACAAATCACTGGTGAGCTATACAAACGAAGCTTTTTTTTTCACTTCAGATATGTAATTCTCTAGGATGAAAAGCCAAATCTGCCCGACTCATAGCTACTTTGGGGTAGAATTGTGAACAATGTTTTTGATTTTAGGACTAAATGTTCGGAAACCCTCGACATTGACATTGTATTTCAGAATAAATTTTCCAAAATTCTTTTTTTTTTTCTGTTCATATTCAATTCTCTTCGACTATCACCCACTTTATTAAACACAGTTACTTGTAAGGCCTAAACTGAAAATCATTCCAAGGGTATTTGCGCATAAGTGAAGGCAGCTAACTCCACTTCGAACTCGGTTCTTCCATTTCTCAACCAGGACATATATCCATTACACCACACCCACGTTCCTTCAAAATTACTGTTCTTTTCGTTTCCGGTACGAAACTGAATCTAGGATATATAAATCCGTGGAAATCCCTACGCGAAAAGCACTTGATTTAAATAAGTAATTGAAGCATTGATATGTCAGGCTGGACTCCATTTTGGCTAAAAAGTGGTGTCCCTGATTGTAAAAAAAAGAAATGGAATGCAGAATCGATTTTTGTTCGAGGCACAGTTTTTCTTTAGTAAGACTTCAAAATCTAGGCCGATACATATTAATTTCGCTGTTTAAGAAAATAAATATGAAAACAGCGAATACAAATGAAAAAAAAAACTTGTAAAATATTTATGACTATTCGATATTTGATGATATCCTTTCAATTTCTTAGCAAGCTCTTACAGAATTTCGTCAGAAAGTCTTATCAGTCCTATACAATATAATTTTCTATTCCAGATGGCTGACTCGAGCTTTTCCAGTTTGGAAGAGATTTTGGGGTAACAAGACGTTCGGAACACTCTCGACATCGACATTGTATTTCAGAATAAATTGTCCAAAATTCATTATTTTTTCTTTTCGTATTCAATTCTCTTCGACTATCACCCACATTATTAAACACAATTACTTTATTTGTAAGGCTTAAACTGAAAATCATGTATCGGATATTGATCCTTTTTATACATACAATCGCCAATTGAAAAATATATTTTATTTAATATTACGTTAATTTATAATTTTGCCCCAAGGAATGTAACAAAATGCAATGAGACACTGAGTACATTATTTAAATTATTCGGACTGTTGTCCTCATCTTTGTTGACATATATATCTCAACGTTTCGGCCATTGTACGCTCTGGCCTTCTTCAGGTGGTTGGAATGTCGAACCGAACCCTTTATTTAACTCACTGGGGTAGACTGTTTTAATGGATGTCAGATGAGGACAAGAGTCCGAATAATGTACATAATACCTCATCTCAGAAATATAGACAGATATTGAGACACTGAGTGTTCGAGAATATGAATAAAACACTATTAAGGAGAGAGGACATTAAATGAACAGGAATTAAGAAAATTAAGGTGACAATTGACACAGCATTTACATTTTTGAAGATCAATCTTGACTCGAAAGCATGAAGCCAGAAGAGAGTTCCACAAGCGAGATGAACAATAGAAGAAACTGTTAGCATAGAACTTACATCCAGCCATTTCATCTGTAAAATGATAGGACCTTGTCGCCAATCTAATAAATTCTTAAATTCATAAAGTCCAGGTACCATAGAGGAAAGCGATATTTATTCTGTTTAATACAGAAATGTGGCACATGGCCGAAAAGGGGATTGGGGAAAAGGACGGTCTTGTTCTATCTTAACTATAACTTAGCTAGCCGCAAACACTGACCTAATCGTACGAACAATATTCCTTACACCAAAACAACACATTCATAAGTACCTTTCTTACTACAACCACCATAATACCATATTGTCTCTATGAAAATACTATCTAGTTCCCATATTTATAATTCAAATGATGAAGAGCGATATTTATTCTGTTTTCTACAGAAATGTGGCACAAGGCCGAAAAGGGGATTGGGGAAAAGGACGGTCTTGTTCTGTCTTAACTATAACTTAGCTAGCCACAAACACTGATCCAATCGTACGAACAATATTCCTTACACCAAAACAACACATTCATACGTATCTTTCTTAATACAACCACCATAATACCACATGGTCTCTATGAAAATACTAACAAGTCCCCATATTTACAATTCATTGTCTGTGGGGAGGGGAATAAAACAACAATTCTAAAAACTAGCCCAAATGAGTATTTACAATATGAATACAAAAAAAAATATTTACAAGAAACTAAAGAAAATAAGATTAGTAAAAAAAAAAAAAAAAAAAAAAAAACCCACAATCTCTAAATGTGGCAGAAACATCAGTTCACTGGCCGAAATCAATGCGGGACTATATTAGTATAAAACATTCATTCATCCCAAGCACTCATTCTGACATGCACTCATTCAGACACAACAACAAATACGAAAAACCACTCACGCGAAACGAAAGGCGCCATAAAGGAAAGTTCAGCAGAACAATTACCATGAAAGTATTTATAGAAAAGGCACAGGAAAACTACGTTACGTCGGTATTCTATAATTCTTATCATCATCAGCTTCAATTCTTCTTACTACCTCTTTCATCCATGCCACACACCGTATTCGTCATTATAATTGCACAGTAATCAAGTACATTATTTATATTATTCGGACTACTGTCCTCATCTATGTCCTCAAGGGCACATGGCAAAGTGGGTAAAGGCGTTAGTTAGATCCAGTGACAGGACCCAAAGGGTGTGAGTTCAATAACTGACTAAGGCAATGGAGAATTTTCAGAGGGAAATTAACAGGAGATAACTGATAACTGACATCCATTAAACATGGCACGTGGAACTAGAGCAGTCTACCACAGTGACCGAAATAAAGGGTTCAGTTCGACATTCAAATCACCTGAAGAAGGCCGGAGCGTAGAACGGCCGAAACGCTGTAATAAATATGGCAACAAAGATGAGGACAATAGCCCGAATAATGTAAATAATGTACATAATACCTCATCTCAGAAATATAGAGAGTTAACCCACTACCTTGAGTAGTTCTCGAGCCTTGTACCGAGCGATGTATAGCACACATGAGCGTAAATGAAGGAGGAAAATAGTAATATTAAATGTTCATTTTAGAGTTAACGTGAAGTCTCCCGATATTTACAATATATATTTATTAATTTGAGGAGTAGTGGATAGCAGCTTGGATTGAGGAATCGGAGAGCCGAGTTCGAATTCCAGTTGAATCCATTACATTTCACTTATGTGCTAATACTTTTCCCAGTTATGGAAAAATAGCAGGACAGATTTGGTTCTATAGTCTTGTCTAGAAGAAAAACTGAATTCAAAACCTGCGGAGGGTCGCTGTGGCATGTAATGCATGTATTGGTTGATATTAGGAGGCATGGTGGAGTAATGGATAGCGACTTAGATTGAGGAATCGGATAGCAGAGTTAGAATTCCAGTCGAATCCATTACGTTCACTTACGTGCTAACACCCTTGGGAAAGGTGTGAATCCTCTTTCTTCTCCCTCCAGCTATAGGTAAATAGCAGGACAGACTGGGTTCTATAGCCTTGGATGGCAACTGGTCTATGTGTAGGAATACTCTGAATTCAAACCTGCTCTTAGATGAGGGTGAATGGAGTCTCTCTGAGCCTTGGTTTGAAATCTATTTAGTGATGGATAAAACACCCTTGATAGCTCTAGCGAAGCATCAAGAATTCAGCTATTTGACAAGATTACACCAATCAAAGTATTGGTGAGTTCAATCTCGGCTGAGGCCGCAAGATGATAATTGGTTGGTCCTACACATACCTTTACCACTATAATTCAATCATATATGCTGTTGTCTATGCTGTTGGTTTCTAGGAACTGTGCTGCTTGACCCTCATACGCCGAATACGACGGGAGAGTCCACCGTATTTATTTAAATGAGAAGTAAAGGCGAGTCTATAAAAGTATCATGTGAATTAGGGATTAAGCTTAGCTTAGTTGTGGCACCGTGTGATCAGTCGTAATTGATCTAGTGAGAAAATGTTACTGACCATGATACCGCGTAGAAGTGCCCAAAATAATGATTTTCTAAGTGTAGAGTAGATCTGGCACAAGGCAGAATTTATGGGGCATCAGGCGGAAATTATGAGCCAACTGTTGAGAATGTGACTCACTATTCAGTCATAATTAATCAAGCAAGCCATGCTTGCATCAAGTCGAAATACCTAAAGGTTTTCTAAGTGTAAACTTACATGTGGCACAAGGCCGAGTGTTTGGTGCACCGAGTGAGAATAAAACACGCTGCACAGTTGTAACTGATCGAGCGAGACCAGTTTACGCCCCTCACACACCACGAACGAATCACACCGCGAACGAAGTGCCTATATATCAAGTGAAATAGAACTGTTAAATGTTTCCGACTTTCTCAGTTTATAAAACTGCAATCATTAAATTCCATCAGTAAGCGATGAGAATCATGTAGTGTGACAGTTAACAGCGCGTAAAGCGGAATCGGCGAACGGAGTTTAATTTTCAGTCGAGTATATTGAGATCATTTTGCATTAACTGCCTTGGAAAAGCATGAATGCATTTCTTACAGCCCAACGACATCTTACTTAAGGGTTAAATATTAAGGCGCACGTGACTTGGGTTGGATGGTAGTCAGTCTTGTAAAAGGACTACAATGAATTCTAAATCCCTTTGTAAGCAATACGAAATAGTTCCACTATTTTTCGCAAAAAATGGCAAATCAAAATTCATGAAGGAAATTAATAGTTATAAGATACGATGGACATGGATCACAAACAACTGTTCCGAACAAGAGAAACGACATTAATTTAACCAACAGCAACAAATAAAATGGATCGAGTGAACAAAATCTGTATGTATCTGACTATATTTCTGAGATGACGTATTATTCTGACACTGCTTATTACTGCTTCCGATCAAGCATAGAAATAAATTCAATATGGGAACCAGTAATAAGGAGTGCTAAAAAAAAGCAATAATAACAAAAAAATTGCAATATGACCTCTGGTAAAAAAAACATGTAATGATAACAGAAAAAAAAAATTGTAATATGAGCACTGGTAAAAAAAGTAAAAACGTTTACTGAGACATTAAGTTTATAATACCCAGAAATTCATACACAGATGTCCTCAAGAACACAGGGCCCAGTGGATAAAAGCGTTAGTTAAATCTACTAACAGGACGCAAAGAGTGTGAGTTCAATACCCGGCTAAGACAGTGGAGAAAGGAATTAGCAGAAGATAATAGATAACTGACATCCATTAAACATGGCACGTAGAACTAGAACAGACTACCCCTGTGAGCAAACATTCCAACCACCTGAAGAAGGCTGGAGCGTACAACGGCCGAAACGTTGTAATAATTATGGCAGCAAAGATGAGGACAATAGTCCGAATAATAGAAATAGTCAATAAGTCTAAATAATGTAAATAGAAAAGCTGTATGTCTTAACGTGAAACATTCTTCTTCGAACCTTTTTCACTAGCGCAACAGAATCGCAAAGAATTTTTCCGAAACAACAGAAAGCACGTTACTTGTGGACTCTAACCAACAGCAACAACTAAAATGGCGTCGAGTGAACAAAATCTGTATGTCTTAACGAGAACCATTCTTCTTCCAATCTTTTGCACTAACGCTACAGAATCACAATGAATTGTTCCAAACAACAGAAACGACGTTACTTGTGGAATTTCACCAAAAGCAACAACTTAAATGGATATGGTGATTATGTAAGCAAAAGCTTAGACGTGACACAAGGGCGAAAATATTGGGCGCCCAGAGAGGATCGATGTCACTATGAAATATCAATTGATCGAGCGAGACAAACTTACTATTACATTACGTCGAAATGCTTTAAATGATTTTCTAAGTGTAGCTTAGATGTTGCACAAGGCCAAAAGTACGCGACACCATGTGAGGATCAAATTCACGTTCCAGTCGTAAACGATCTAACGAGACAAGCTTGCTAGCTATTTTTCTACAGTGAAGTGCCTAAAGTGGTTTTCTAAGCCTAGCTTAGATGTCGCACATGGCAGAGTGTAACGCGGCAGACAGTCACTATAAAATCGATCTAGAGGGACAAGCTTGTTAACTATTACACCACGATGAAGTACTCAAACTAAAATTAATATGCATATATAAATATGCACACATAAATCGAAGTGAAAAAAAAGGTAATGATCAAGATATCGATATTCCACACGACTTCAAACAAAAGGTTAGGAAGGAAAACCCCAGTTATTATTGAAAAAGAGTGGTAACACTTAACGAGATTAAGAAACCAATTTCCTGAAAGATTTTTGTGAGGAAAAGATTTTATAAAATTTCAACCAAGCGTAACACTGGCTACTCGATCAATGAATGTCGAATATTTACTTTTAATATTAACGTTTCTTAAAGCAGATAAAACTGCCAGGACTTGAAGACTTATCTTGAGGAAATTGTGCCTACGGGAGAAGTGTCGTTTTGCGAGTTGAAAATTTGCACATGGTCGAAAAATTTTAGTTTTTATTCTTTATAAGATGTATCATAATATGATGAAATCACTTTGCGAGACATTTTCTGTCTTTTATGCTGATAGATATTTCTATCTATCTATCGCATCTATCATCTATCTATCTATCTATCTAAAAGGTTTTTCCATCTTTTTATCCTCATCTATAAGATGTATCATAATATTGTCATAAACTGCTAGAGAAATATTCATATTATTCATCAAATATGTAGAGCATCTATTTCTGAGTCTATTCCCATATGTACGTGTTCCATCCATCATATATCCAGACAGGTTCATCAGTTTCTATCTATCTATCTATCTATCTATCTATCTATCTATCTATCTCATCAGTCCATATCTATCGCATTCATCTATCAGGTCCATATCTATCTATCTATCTATCTATCTATCTATCTATCTATCTATCTATCTATCGCAGACAGGTTCATCATTCTATCCATCAGGTCCATCTATCTATCTATCTATCTATCTATCTATCGCAGACAGGTCCATATCTATCTATCTATCTATCTATCTATCTATCTATCTATCTATCGCAGATCAGGTTCATCCATCTATCTATCTATCTATCCATATCTATCTATCTCTATCATCTATCTTCATCTATCTATCTATCTATCTCAGACAGGTCCATATCTATCTATCTATCTATCTATCTATCTATCTATCATCTATCTATCTATCATCTATCTATCTATCTATCTATCTATCGCAGATTGGCCCATATCTTTTGTGTAATGATGCAATTTAAAGAGAATGGATTTTTTTTCTAAGTGACACGTCACTCCAGGACGCTGACAATCATGACTCTCCCAAATTTCCACTCCTTTGTAGCTCTTAATATATTCTGTCTTTTTTTTATCTCTCCTAAATCATGTCCTGCTAGCCATTTACTCCAGCTCGTTCTCTAGCTTATGCTTTAGATACTTCGGTCCCATTTTCCTTCAATCTGTCCTATGAAGATTAAACTTTCTAAGTCCTCTTTCCTCATTAAGTGCCCTAGAAATTTTAACTGTCTCTATCTGGTGATGATTAAAATAGTCTTTGTTTTCATTTTCTCTAACATTTCGTATATGGTATTCTCAGCAAACTTCTGTAGAACCCCATTTCTGTTGAAGACGTCGTTTCTTCCATTTCTGCAGAGATGATCCAGTGTTCACCGCCGTATAGAACTAATATTATATAACACTCTATTCTTAGTTTATCATGTATCAATTATCTTCTTCATCTGTGAAGAGATTGTCCAGAATTCACTGCCGAATAGGAGGACTGATATTACATAACCTTTCAACATTCTTTTCTTTGTTTATCTCTCATCAATTATCTTCTTCATTTGTGTGGAGAATGTCCAGCATTCACTGCCGTATAGAAGGACAGATATTACTTAACAGTTCAGTATTATTTTCTTTGTTTCGAACGAATTTTCTTTTTTTCTGAATACTTTACTTAGCTTTTATGGGGCAACTTTTTCTATCTCAGTGATCCTTCAGATTAGAGTGTCATGTTTTCCGTCCTCTGTCAAAGCATTTCCTAGTTATTGTACTTGTTTGATTTTGGTAGCTCCTTATTGTAACCACACGTAGAATATTTTTCAAAATATTTTCACCCCAAGCAAGTACTAGTATGCAGGAGGTTACAGAGAATGAAAGTGTGGAAAAAATGGGTACGGGACTAACGAAAGGATAAAAGATGAACGGGATTCAAGAAGATGCGATTGACATTTCAATTAAAATTTTGAAGACTGCAGTTTTCAATGTAGCAAGTAAACGGAAGGAAGTTCCACAGCCGGGAAATACGAGACAGGAGACTGTGAAAGTAGAAGTGGCGTTTACTTCTAATTATTACGGGATTAAAAAGGTTGGACCTAGATGCTAACCTAGTAGCATGCTTAAATTCATGTAGTCGAGGCACCAGGGGAATATTCGTCAGAGCAGTTGTCAGAAAAACATTTGTAGAATAGTCAGAAGGATGCCACACCACGTCTATGAGAAAGTTACTGAAGTCGAGCTTCCAAGTCAGCATAGATTACATTGCAAATATCTTGTCAAGAAACTCGAGATGAATAACAGGAGCATCAGACCAGATATGACCACCGCATTCGATACACGGACGAATGGTAGATTTGTAACTGCGCAAAATGGAATATGCTGAGAACAACCTTCTCCTTGCACGTCACAGACCCAAATTTCTTTGCATTAGATGCAGCAATAGATTCAATGTAGTGGTTCCAGTTCAAGTCAGTTCAACTCTGTCGCTCTTCAGTGGCGCTGATGGTGTACAAAAAAAGTGTCTTTATCGTGGATAAAAGAGAGCGGTTTTAGTTTTGGAGGCATTATAACTGACAAACCATTTTCTGCCTTGGTTAACCACTGATTGGAGATCTTTTTCAAGACGCGCGGCAAGGTTAAGTCTGTCAGGTCTGACGGATGTGCTATTGAGGCAGGAGTAAACGGTAGTGTCATCTGCATAAATGCCTACTTGGGAACTGATGACATCATTATAAAAATGGCTTTCGAGAAAGTATAAATTAAATGAATATACAGGAATCCAGCCGTTAATTATTCTGCAAAAACTGACATAAACGTAACATACTGCAGACATAACTGTGGGTCTTCAGTTCAAAGTTCTGGACATCCTTGCAAAAGAGACCAGTCTACACTGCTGTTTAACCTGTTATTGGTGGAAGAAGAATCTGTGCCTCTTTGAATGGCATTAGTGTATGGTGAATGTTAAGGCTGATTTCACTTTGTGTTGATAACGCGCTTTTTGCATGAACATGTTAGAGAACTAAAAAAAAAACATTGTCTAAAATGGATACCGCTTACATAAAAAGACTAGAAGCAGAACCAATAAGAAATGCTGAAAAAATGTGTTTCTTCTTTTTTATCTGTGCCGTGTCAAGTCAAGACATGGGACATTTCTCTCCGTCTTTTGTAACTCTTAGTAACGTTTTTCGCTATCTCTACTATTTTTGTTTATCTTGTCTTTGTCGCATTTTTACTATCTCCTCTAGTCCCTTGTCTGCCAACCATTCACCTAAGCTCTTTAGGTAGGTTATGTTGAATTTTATCTATTCATTTTGACTTTAACATGTTCTTTGAGTGTCAAGTGTTCTACAAATATTCATGCTTAGAATATCAGAAATTTCAATACAAATAAAGGATTTTGCAACATTTCTCTCTGGCGTAATGCATCAAAAGATTTTGCATAATCTATAAAATACAGGTAATCATCCTTCTCAATTTTTATTGCACGTTCTGATATTCTGAGCATAAATATGATATTGCTTCTTCCAGTAACTTTAACGAACCGACACAAAAATAATGACGTAAGAATGTCGTTTTTTGACGTTGAAAAATACGTCAAAAAACGACATTATTACGTCATTATTTTTGCACCAACCTAATAATTCCGGTTTACATCTGTTACGCACTGAATTTCGTTACATCTGGCTTCATTGCTGAAATCATCTTGTAGAAGCTCAGAACATATTTGGTTTATTTCTCTCTCTGAAGATAAAGCTGGCACAAGGCCACCTCCAGATGTAATTTACAAATAAAACTTCTTTCCCTATTATTTAATCCATGAAAATCAAAAACTCTTGACGTTAGACAAGAAAGGAGAAATAATGATTCATAAACATCTTGTTTCAAAACGTAACAATTGAATTTATTAGTGTTTGGTATACATGTATGAATACTGAGTGAAAAGGTAGGGCAGAGTCCTGTCCCTTTGATTAGGTAATAGTTGTACCTGAGTTCATATTAAAAGGAAGTAATGAGTTCGTATTGAGTGTTTGGAATTGTATGAACAAGTTAGGTAGAGTTCAGAGATAATACTTGATATGAATTAAGTATTGTTCATTTAACGTCTGACTCGATAAGTCGAGACGAGAGTTTCTTTAGGGTCACATTTTGGCGGCGTGTTGAGATGTACGAGTGACGTAGATAAGTTAGGTTCGAGTCAGGAAGAGCAGGAACAGAGAGAGAGAGAGAATATCACACGTGTTGGGTTTATATATCACCTGTATCACGCGATAGGATCAGAATTGACATGGCGCCTAAATTGACTCTGCACGTAAGAGCGATCTGATTGGTTGACACTGACCAATCAGCAAGTTGGATGTACTGTGATTGACCAATGGTTTCTCGTTGATAATTTGTATGAAAGTAGGATGTTACTTACCAGATAGGAAGAGTGCATTTCCTAAAAAGAGGTAAGACTGGTTTGTTGTGGACGATTCCTCAATCTAAAGCTGCCTGCATCTCTACTACAATTCCGTCTGGCCCTGCTGCTTTCTTTCTGTCCAATTTGGCCAGGGCCAATTTCACTTTAGACTTTAATATTTCTGGTCCTTCGATATTTCTGTGTATTGTCGGTTGTCTTCGTTCATCATGGAAGAGTTCTCCAGTGTATTCGTTCCCCGTCTGTAATATTTTTTTTCTGATATAAGCGTCTTGTCTTTAGAATTAATGTATCCTGTTGATTAGAGCTCTTTTGACCCGTTAGTTTTCTTTTATGTTTATACATGTATGCTTTATCTGAGGTACTAATTCTTTCCATTTTTGCAACTTTTTTCATTGAGTCATTCCTTTTTAGCTCGTCTCTTTTTTTTTTTCAAAATTTCTGCGTGCAGTGTCCTATATTCTATGCCGTACCTTGGCATTTTTGTCTAGTTTTTTCATATCGAGAATGTCCGCTGTCAATCATTCCTTTCTTCTGGTAAAATACGTTTATGAACATGGACGAGGGCTAAAGAATGACGGACGCAATAATTTCTTATTTCTGGGTACCACAGTGAATTAATTATTTAATGTCAGGCCACCTAATTGTTTACACGATGTGATATTTTGAAAAGTTCACCCATCTTAGTAGTGACTTGTTTCCACGCTGCTTAACCCACCTGATAATACTAGAACCAATGTTTTACAACTTGTTAACTATATACATTTGGCTGTTTGCAGCTGTGCCTATCTATCTCAACAATATGCACATGAGAGCGAGTGATTTCCAATGTGTGGGGTATTCTAGTTTTAATTTTCCGGACTGTTTAATCCGATGAAATTATTTCAGCTGGAAGGAAATCATGTAGCAACAACGTCAAGCGTTAGATCAATAAGTAAATAGCTTCCGAGAGGGCTTTTATTCATCAAATAATTTTAGACAACACCTGGCCTTACAAACACCAATCGATTGCAATTTTCTCCCTGATTAAACTCGTAAGCAGTTTCAACGTTTACCCATTCTTTTTGTATATTTTTTTTATTTACACATACCTCATCTTGGGTATGAAATATTGGAGACACTTTAGCAGTGTGGATGATAAGAAAATATCGATTTCTCTCAAATGTTCGTTTTGTAATTGTCCGTGGTATTAGAAACGTATAGTTTTATACACCGTCCCACTAAATAACGTGGAGGAAAATGGTCCTCCATGACATTCTCTGCGTTGGAAATAGATCCAATGATTTTCAACACGTTTACTCACGAAAACATTGTCATTCTCTCTCCTTAATATACTTTTTTTTTTCTTTTTTTATTTTCTTTCGCATCGTAAATTCTTCCGTCTTAGTGGCTTTTTTGCCTTGCGTGTGGTGAAGTGATTTCTTTTAAAACTCATCAGGGATAAAAGCCAGAGCGTGGAAATAATGAGTATCTGGTAGAATGATTTATCCTTTTATCTTCTTCTCCAAGATTTCTCTTCCTTTGGAACTTATTTGTAATATCTAATCTTCCAATCTAAGGAAATGT